TCAGATTGTGAGTCGAGTGCCTTAACCACCTGGCCATGCCGGGCCCTGAAGTTATGTATGTAAATATAAAGCAAGGTTGATGTTTTATCTGGATGAAAGTTTTGAATCACAGTAAGAAACTTCACTCTCTGCAAGAGAAATATGATAGCGCTTCATTTAGACCTAATAATATATTTTAACATATAAATACCAATACTAAATTCATATTACAAAATTATTACTCAGATTTCATCCTGTAACTGTTTAAGTTCTCTTCCGACTAGTAAAACTGAAACTTAAAAGTTGGCGTATTTGACGTGTAAACCTGCTTTATAAAAAAAAATCCGTTTTTACTTTACTATTATTGCCGTCAACGTCAACTATCAAAGCACAACGGATGTGTCACCTTAAAGTTTCTCAACAGCTTCACTTAATTTACATCAATAATTTCCTTATGTAAAAACCAACTGCATTAACAAAATGGTGAAGAACAATTAGAACGGAGGCGTCATAGCTTCACAAAGTTTTTACATGTAAAGTTTAGAAATATTGTTTTTCTAGATTTAAGAATGCGTTTCCTTTCGATAAACTTTGTACGACGCCATATTTGAATTCGCCATTACGTCATTTGTAACTGATAAAGTATTGTATGACAATATAAATATACCTTTATACACATGCTGAAACATGATTCAAACTCGCAAACTAATCACTGGGGCGGATATTAAAGTGTCGCTTTGCAGATCAGAAGGTCTAAGGTTCGCGTCATGATGCAAAATACTAATATTAAATCACTGTACTAAATCCAAATTAGAAAATTATTATAGGTTGTTTGTAGTAGAGCGCAAAGTTACAAAATGGTCCATCTGTGCCGTGACTAACACGGGTATAGAAACCTGTGTGAGAAGTCCGCAGATTTTCCGCTGTGCCACAGTGAGACAAAATTATTATTGAAAACTCCATCTTATAACTCTTTAAACACTCTTCCGACCATATTTACTAAAACCTCAACTTAAAAGCTGGCACATTTGATGTATAAGCCGTAACGATATATCGTTGAGAAGCATAGCGTCAGAATAGCTTCTATCTTGCTGATAAGTTCCTGCAGTAATGTCACATCTTAATTAGATCCTCTGTCCCCTTTTTTAAGCCTCTGCGTTGACAGAGTTCTCGATTAGCAGGATAAAGTTCCCTGTCAATAAGGTAAATTAGACCCATATGTCGCTTCAAAGTGATAATAATATCTACATCTACGAACGATCCAACCGTATTCTAGGTTTTAACTCTGTAATAATATCATTGGAACCATCTGGAAAGGTTAGCTTGAAAGGTTAGACCATAGCCTTCCAGTCGTCTTCAACTGAAGGAGCTTTTTAAAATCGGTGGAGTCAAGTTGCACCAAACACTGTCGAAGCCTATTTGAAAGCATCTATTGCACTATGTGGGTTACTGAACCCAGTATAACACCATATTAGAAGACTGATCATGTCGCTCGGGCTCGCTCTGCGTCTACACTTTACGGAAATTTCTGGCAGAAACAGTGAATCTATAGAACCTATAAATAACTATGCATATGTTCTGCCAAATAATAAAAAATAGGTACTTGGAATTTCAAGGGACTAAAGTGTTGACAGACCTGTACTGTCGTTGTACTAAATGATTCATTATTTTCAACATTGCTTATTAAGCCTACCGTAAAAGTAACGCTCACCTTTTTCTTTGTACCGTTAAGATACTCTTTGTACATCTCCGAACGAAGATATCTCTGGTAGCTGTCGTTTTTCATTAAATGGTACAAATGTGCCTAAAAAAAAAAAAAAAAA